GATTGCTTTGCAAAATGGAGTTTTAGCATCTTCTCTGACGCTAAACCAACCAAAGCCTAGTTAACTAGAGAGATCTAAGAAGAGCCACTCTTCACTTTTAGGGTAGGGGTACTTTCAGTGGGGGCCAGGGAGGCATGATTCATGGCAACATCCGATATAATCTCTTCACTAAAAGCCTTTTGGGGAAGAAAGAAAAAGTGCTTCTGGGTCTTCCTTTCTTGATCATTAAATCAGTCAACTGAGGAAGCTAGCATTCGTCCAAACTATCAGTTGAATTATTCTTCGTTTCAGGAAAATCATCTGATACATCTCTTTGGTTTCATTTACATGTTAATCCTCAATATGAACACTGACCCAGTGTAACCACCAGGGCTCAGCCTCCGCAGCATACACTGGCTGGTGCTGCTCAGCAGGCTGGGCCACAGGGGAGGCCTGGTTTGAGTCCCAGCCTGCTCTGAAGAGCTGGGTATGGTGGCGTGTGCCCCTAGTCCCTGCTACTCAGGAGACTGAGGCAGGAGGATGGCAGTGTAGAGAGATCCTGTCTGAAACATCTCTCTCTCACACATACTCCACAAATAGAGAAATTAATTAAAATATAATCAAGCAGAGTCCCACTGAACAAGAGTCCTTCCTGGTCCTGAGGGCTTGGTGAATGACACCTAAAAGATGCATCACCCATGGTGTGCACGTCTCATGCACCCTGAGGGAAGATACTGCAACAGAAGATACATTCCGTGGGTGACCTTTCTTTGTCAATCAATATTTATCAGGTTTCATACAACTGGGTCTTTGGGCTGAGAATAAATTCACTTAGTCACAGGGCATCTGTCTATGCTTATGTGTGTTGAAGGGAGATGGAAACAAGAGAGGAAGATGTTGCTAATTGTCAGTAAATCTCTCTCTCTCTGTTTTTCTTTTCTTTTCTTTTTTTTTTTTGGAGAAGTTTTTGCTATAGGGTGCATGTGCTCGCCAGACAGACAGAGAGAGACAGAGAGATAGAAAGCGAGAAATCACCCCCCCCAGGGGGCATGGCCACTCCGCAATCCCTTCTCCTCCATTCGCCTCTCAGGATCTTGGGCACACACGCACATGCACCTGGCATGAGTTTACGCCACTGGATCTGGGACTTTAATTGCGGTCAACTACATGGGAGTCCAGCGACCTAGCCATTACACCAACTGCTGGTTCTTCTCTCTCCTTTTTAATTTTGCCAGAGGGCATGTGCACTCACCAGAGAGACAGAGAGACAGAGAGATATGAAGAGAGAGCAAGTATCCTCCATGGCATGTGGCCGCACTGCCATCCTTTTTTTTTTTTTTTTTGGAGAAGTTTTTGCTATAGGGTGCATGTGCTCGCCAGACAGACAGAGAGAGACAGAGAGATAGAAAGCGAGAAATCACCCCCCCCCCAGGGGGATGGCCACGCCGCAATCCCTTCTCCTCCATTCTCCTCTTGGGATCTTGGGCACGCATGCACACGCGCCCGGCGTGAGTTTAAGCCACCGGGTCTGGGATGCGAACTGCAGTCGACTACATGGGATTCCAGTGACATAGCCATTACGCTAACTGCTGGTCCCCGTACTGCCATCCTTTCTCTTCCATTTCTCTTCCTTGTCAGGATTTTGGGCATGCATGCACATGTACCTGACATGTTTCTCAAGCTGCTGGGTCCAGGACTTGAACTATGTGGTTGGCCATGTGGGATCCAGCTCCTTAACCATGAGGCCATGGACTGGCCCCAGCAAATCTTTAAAACTGGAATCTTATTCTCAACTTGCCATCTTATCCCGAGCTAGGGAATCGATTCCTACCTCTAATTCATTCAACTAATTAAATGAAAAAAAAAAATCACAGCACCCAGGAGTAAAACAGAACAATGGAATAAAATGGATTTTACATAAAATAACAATTATTAGGCAAGACAAGTTTGTAGGTTCTGGTTTGGAGGATGCGATGTCTGACAAGTGGAAAAGCCACCTCCCGTTCTGTTTCTCAGACTGCAAGTTTTTATTTTAAAATATTTAATTGTCCTAATAAACTTGGATCTATTCGAGGTATATGCTGTGATACGCGTATACTGGGTAGTGATTACAATGGATTTCATTAACATATCCACTACCAGTGTTGTAAGTTAGAACCCCCCAATCTTGTTCATCTTACACAGGTTGAGCAATTCCTCAACTGAAAATCTGAAATATTCCAAAACACTGCCATGAAAACGCCACCCCTCCCTCATGTGACAGGTCACAGTCAGGATGCTGCAATACAAGAATAGGATATACAATTCTCTTCAGATCACAGGAATAAGGGGTGCACGAAACACAAATGAACCTTGTGCTCAGACTCATGGCCTATCCCCAAGATATCATGATACCGTGTGTGTGCGCAGGAGAAAATACTCCAACATCCAAAAAAGTCTGAAGTCTGAGACACTTCAGGTCCCGAGCGTTTAGGAGACACGGGATATTCCACCTGTGGCTGCGAATTTGTCCTGTTTGACTACCATCTCCCCATGTCCCCCTGCCCAAGCCCTCCGAGCGGGCAAAAATCACTCTTTCACTCGAGTTTGTGGTAGTTCACTATTTATGAAACAATCTATACGGAATACACACACACACCACAGTCAAGGGGACTTTAAAAAGTTTGTGGAAAATGGAATTAAAGGATGAGTTCATTGGGACCAGCAGATGGCATAGCGGTTATGTTGCTGGATTCTCACATGGCTGGCTGCATTTTGGGACCTGGACACAGTGATTTCAAAGTCACGCTGGGCGGGGAACCAGCAGTTAGCGTAATGGCTATGTCGCTGGATTCCCACGTAGTTGACCGTGGTTCGTGTCCCGGACCCGGTGGCTTAAAACTCACGCCGGGCGCGTGTGCGTGCGTGCCCAAGATCCCGAGAGGAGAATGGAGGAGAAGGGATTGCGGCGTGACCATCTCCCCTGGGGGGTGATTTCTCGCTTTCTGTCTCTCTGTCTCTCTCTGTCTGTCTGGCGAGCGCACGCGCCCTACAGTGAAAATCTCTCAAAAAAAAAAAAAAAAGTCACGCTGGGCGCATGTGGGTGCGTGTCAAAGTTCCTTGGAGGGGAATGGAGGAGAAGGGGTTGTGGCATGGCCATCCCCCTCTGGGGGTGATTTTTCACTTTCCCTTTCACTGTCTCTATCTCTCTCTCTAGTGAGTGCACATGCCTTAAGGCAAAAACCTCTTTAAAAAAGTACGAGTTTATTTTGGTGCAGAAATTTTTGCAATCCTTGCACGATTTTTTCATGATCTGCATTTCTCATGAACTTTACGAAGATCTCTTATATTTCTTTCTCTTTTTCTTTTCTAAGAGATTTTTGCTATAGGGCATATGCACTTGCCAGAGAGACAGAGAGAGAGAGAGACAAAAACTGAGAAATCATCTCTCAGGGGAGTTGGGCACCCACAATCCCTTCTCCTTCATTCTCTCTGGAGTTTGGGCACACACGCACACGTGCCTGAAGTGAGTTTCAAACAGTTGGGTCCAGGACTCAAACTGTGGTTGACCGTATAGGAATCTAGTGCCTTAACTACCACACCATCTGCTGGCCCCGACCTCTTATATGTCTATAACAGTAAGCTTAACTGACCAAGAGAAGAAAGAATAGGAAAAGGCAAGATTTCTTTTCTTGGCATCTTGCTATAACCTGCTGGGGACTTGAACCGTCAGCTGAAGTGTCTTTTGCTGAAGTGGAATCTCCACTGCTTGGTAACCCTGGCTTTGAAGTGCGACTCTTACTAAGGCAGACTCAGTTTTGGAGCCATTTATCTCCATCCTAGTTCAGTACTTGGGAAGCCTAAACAAGGAGTGTGGCAGGCTCTTATCCCGGCTCTACTTTACACCATACTTGCTTTGATTAGCCTCTGTAAGCACGACTACATTGTTTGCTATTGTTTTGTGTGTGTGTGTGTGTGTGTGTGTGTGTGTGTGTATGTGTCATGCATAAAGACGAGAACCTCAGAGGGGAGAGGAAGCCTACTGATTTTCTAAAGCATCACTCAATTTACAGGTGAAGCCGCTTCAGCAGCAGAGGTTCATGGACTCACCCCGCCATCCTGTCGCATTTGCTGTTCTGGGGGACTGGATGGGGCCTCTCACCTGCAGCCCCTGCACTACCTGGGTGCAGACATTTCCCTGGCAGGATTTGATTTAAAGCTTTGCATTTTTAATTCCGACAAAGGTGTCTGGGTCAATGTTCATTTCTCCTTGAAGGTATTCAGAAGGCTTTTGTCGTAGAGCGTTTTTGAAGTACTATATTAAAGGGTGCTGGCTCTTTATTGCACCCATCTCTCCGGAGGTTGGGAGGAGTAGAACTAAATTGGAGAAGCAATAAATGACTATCTGCAGCCTCTGCAAGGCTACTGGCTCTGCCTTCACTAACCCCTGCTCCGTCCTTTCCCATAATAACAAAAGGCACCACTTACCCACCCAGCTATTGTGCAAGGCACTTTGCACCTCTTTCAAACTTGCAGTAACCCTCTGAGGTAGAAATTGTTATTCTCATTTAAAAATGCTATTTATTGTTTGTTTGCTTGCTAGAGGGCATGTGTGCGCTTGCCAGAGAGAGGAAAGAGAAATAGAGAACGAAAGTGAGAAAGCATCCCCCACGGGGATGGTCACATGGCAATCCCTTCTCCACTCTCCTCTCGGGATTTTGAGCAAGCATGCATATATGCCCAGTGTGTCATTGGAGCCACCAGGTCCAGGACTTGAACTGCAGTTAGCCCTTTGGGATCTGGCACCACCATGCCACCGGCTGGTCTTGTTATTCTCATTTTATAGATGAAAAAAAAAAAGGTTTACAAGTCACACTGCCTGGTGAGTGGTGGAATTCTCATTTATCTACTTCTGAGGACAAAGACATCAATTTGCAATTCAGGGTTCTCTTAAAGTCACGTGACCTGAAGAGGACACTCCCACACTTCCCAGCCTGCCAAAAGCCCCTGGGACCTGTGCCAGAGGGCAAACCCTCGTCTACCTGCAGAATTCTCCTTCTGATTCTGGCAGTGACAGCGAGGCCATGGGGCTCTTCATCAGGTCGGCCACCACAGGGTCCTTGGCGGTCATGTAGAAGAACGGGGTCCCAGTGCTGTTGTTGAAGGGGCCGTCACTGATCGGCAGGCAGCTTCCGAACGGCAGTCCTTGGATCTAAGAAACACCAAAAACAGTTTTTTCAATGCAGTATGGTGGATTGATTTGCTCAGGAGCTTAGTTTGTGTCTCCGGCCTGGAAGTCTAGGACTGGGGACATGAGGGGACCATGATGTCACAGGGGGTTTGACAGGTGGTTCACTAAGGCAAGGTGGTCTCCAGTCTACTCAGTGAGCTCTGGGATACTCCAGAATTTCTCTATAGGAGAGGGTTAGCAGTGACACTCTGGAAGGGACGGACAAAGGATTATTCTTGAAGCTGCCTGTGCATAGCAAATCCACTCACTTTATTGAAATCATCAATGTTATCTTGGGAAGGGGCAGTGAAATTTATGGGGGTCCCGGCAGGGCTGAGCCTTTCCCACAAGCCACCTCTGTGAGCCGCACAGCCTTCGCCGCCTCCTTCCAGGTTTCCGCAACTTTGAGGATAAAATTTGTCTTAATTTTAATGGCTGCTTGGTCTTTGGGCTCCAGAAACTATTTTGCTTCTCTTAGGGTTATGTCATTTTCTCACTTATTATTGTCATCAATAACATTTCATTACACACTACTCAGCAAGCTAAGGGAAATTGATTTGTTCCCCTTTCAGCAGACAGGAGGTCACGGAAAGTGGGACGCCAATCTCTGTTCATGCTCATCTAAGCAGGGTGCGTGAGATGGGATGGTCTTGTTTCCGTGACATGGACATGGCAAAAACATTGCATCTTAGTCTTTCCCAATCCTGCTGCTCAAGCAACCCGATCCTCCACAAGCTCCATTCCTCCCAAAGCCTCTCTGTTACTTAGCGCAGTGCTCAGGGGCTCTTCGTCTTTGAAGTGTTGCCCGGAAATGGTGCGTGGAATTGTAAAAGGAAAGGCTTTATTGAGTCTTTCAAGAAAATGAAATGTTGAGATGTCCTCCAAAACAGTAATAAAACTGCGTTCACAGGCTCCACTTTTCAGCTCGTCATAAACTCTCCGGAGTCACATTTGCACCCTCAGTGGCCACGTTGCACTTTCTGAATTTACTGAGTTCGGATTAGATGGCAATATTTAGAAAGGGGAGGGATGTGGGCAGTCACAATGTCTTTAATACGTTGGCAGTAGACTTTAAATTGCTTGGAAAGATGTGTGATTTAAACCAAGATTAGCTTCACATTTAAACTCCATGCCATTTGGATGCTGTGAATATCCAACTGGCTCAGAATGTGACACTAAAGAAATGAAGATCATTGTAACAATCTGAATGAAGTTATCACTTAGATCATTCTCTCTTTTTTTGGAGAGGTTTTTGCTATAGGGCTTTGCCAGAAAGATAGAAAGCAACAGAGAGACAGAAAGTGTTCCTCCCCCCTGGAGGGATGGCCACGCCGCAATCCCTTCTCCTCCATTCTCCTCTCGGGATCTTGGGCATGCAAGCACACACGCCTGGCTTGAGTTTAAGCCACCGGGTCCGGGACTAGAACCGTAGTTAACTATATGGGAGTCCAGCAACACAGCCATTACACCTCTGCTGGTCCCTAGATCATTCTTTTTTTTGGAGAGGTTTTCGCTACAGGGCGCTCGCCAGCCAGACAGAGAGAGACATAGAGACAGAAAGCGAGAAATCACCCCCCAAGGGGGATGGTCACGCCACAATCCCTTCTCCTCCATTCTCCTCTCGGGATCTTGGGCACACACGCACATACACGTGCCCAGCGTGAGTTTTATGCCACCGGGTCCAGGACGCGAACTGCGGTCGACTACATGGGAGTTAGCCATTACGCTAACTGCTGGTTCCCCCTAGATCATTCTTTAAACAAAAAAAGGGACCTTAAAAACTGCCTAGTCAACCACTTACTTTTATAGAAAAGCATAGCAAAGTGGAGAAGCCAATGGTGTAGCCACCCACCGTCAGGGTGCAACAGCCTGCATCCCCGTCCCATGTACTAGGCAGTCTATATATATATATATATATGAATAAAATCAAATGCTTCCATTTATCTTAATAGTCTGCAGAGCTTTCTGGAGGTGCATACTCAGTGGAGTAATATCCTCATTACTTATCCATGCCATTGCCGATGGGATTGTGTCTAACAGGTGAGTACATTTGTGACCCGCACAATTAAAAACAGCTCATTCCAGCATTACACGCTTTGCATAATAAGTCTGCATTTCACAACAAGTGTGAGTTTAATTTTTTCCAAGTCAGTGTCTACCAAAGCCCGGGTGGTGTCCTCCTCCTCATCCTGGTTTGGGCTCCATGTCAGCGGTGCTGGTGGGGTCTGGTCTGCGGCACTGTGTGCTGGGAAGGGCCGTGAGTGCCCGCTCTGCGGTTTCAAAGGCGGCTCGGGTTCCTTTTGTCCAGGGCTCTGGTCAGGCGCTGGTTATTGGTACGTCTCATTGACTCTCATTGACTGGCCATCTCGAGGCAGGGATCCAGTCCTCAACACCTGGCAGGAAGCCTGGATTTCTGCGCTGCGCCCACCCCCGCCCGTCCGCTCCACACACACGCCTTGCCAGGCTAACCAGAGCACAGTCTGGTTCCATTATTCATACGGTGTGGACGGTCCAGTCCAGCCCATGGGTCACGTCTGTTGCACCTGGATTGGAGTAGATGAGCCGTCGCTAGCATCTCCCTGTGCCCTGGGCGCGCCGCCTGACTACCAGGCCAGCCCGAGGCAGGCACCGCAACCCGCCCCCGGCGGGCAGCTTACCTTTTCGTGGGCGGACACGGTGGCCAGACAGCCCCAGGCGCTGGCGTGCGCCAGGGAGCGGGCGGTGGCCGCGCGCAGCCT